CCCCCCCAGGGCCAGGACCCCCAAACCTCCCAGCACCAGGGCCTTCCATTGCTGGGGGGCGAGGTTCTGGGTGCAGGGCTCAGAGGTGCATGAGGGAACAGCTGATGCTCATGTGCCTCCAGTTTGCGGGCCCCCCTCAGGCGCAGGGGGCTGGGCAGACACTCCTGGTGTGGGCGGGGCTGAGAGCCATGTGCCCAGCCCCACACCACTTCCGGAAGGGTTCACTTCTAGGCTACGTCTACACTGGCATGATTTTTTGAAAATGCTTTTAACAGAGGCTAAAGCGACTGGGACTTCTCAGTTTAGAAAAGAGGAGACTGAGGGGGGATAGGATAGAGGTCTATAAAATCATGAGTGGTGTGGAGAGGGCCGATAAAGAAAAGTTATTAGTTTCCTAAAACAAAATCCAGGACTCTGGAGCTTTCGAAAGCTCATCTAATAAACCATCTTGTTAGTCTTTAAAGTGCTACATAGGCCTGTATTTTGTTTCAGCTACCCCAGACTAACACGGCTACATTTCTATCATTATTAGTTCCCATAATAGAAGAACTAGAGGACACCAAATGAAATTAATGGGTAGCAGGTTTAAAACTAATAAAAGAAAGTTCTTCGTCACACAGCGTGTAGTCAACCTGTGGAACTCCTTGCCAGAGGAGGCTGGGAAGGCTAGGACTATAATAGAGTTTAAAGAGAAGCTAGATAATTTCCTGGAGGTTAGGTCCATAAAAGGCTATTAGCCAGGGGATAAAATGGTGCCCTTGGTCTCTGTTTGTCAGAGGCTGGGGAGAGATGGCAGGAGACAAATCGCTTGATCATTGTCTTCGGTCCACCCTCTCTGGGGCACCTGGGGCTGGCCACTGTCGGCAGACAGGATACGGGGCTAGATGGACCTTTGGTCTGACCCAGTACGGCCATTCTTATGTTCTTATGAGGGCCAATGAGCTGTTCCCCGGGGGAGGGTCTCCGAGTGCCTGGGCCGGGGAAGGCGCGGCAGTCGGCCTGGGTTCCAGCGCAGCGGTGCAAGGCCCGGCTTGGCCCGCTGGCTCAGGAAGGCAGAGATGCAGCCGTGCACCAGCACCCGTGCCGGCGGGAACAGCACGGGTGAGGCCGTTCAGCTGGCGCGCGCGAGTCCCGAAAGCCCAGAGCAGCCCCCCACCACACCGCCGACTGGGGCGGATTTGCAGCCGTGTGTGCATTGGCCCAGACCCCTAGTCCCAGCCTGAGCAGAGAACAAGGCTCTTCCCAGGGGGGAGGCAAAGGGAGGGAGGTGAAGACGGCCACCTGGCGAGGGGGCAGGGCTGGGGGCTGGGCAGCTGGAGCATGGAGGAAGGAGATTAACCAGTATAGGGGGTTCAGGGGCCCATAACCCCTTCCCCCCAAGGGAACTAGGCCTGTCCTCTTTTGCCTGCATGGGTTGTATCTCGGAGCAGCAATAAACCCCCCCTATTCCACTGCCCGGCGGAGTCGCACCTGGCTGCGGACGGGGGTGCAGGGTCAGGGGGTCCCCGATATGCCGTCACACCTGCTGTAGTTACTGTAGAGCAGGGGCGGGGAACCTCAGGCCCAGGGGCCGGCTGGAGCTCCCAGCTTGCCTGGATCTGGCCCCGAGGCTCAGGACTCCTCCGTGGCTCCGGGAAGCCCATGCTGGCGCTCTAGCTTGCCCCACTGCAGGGCTGGAACACACAATCTGGGCTGGCCCCCGGCTCTGGTGTGCGAGGGCAGCGTGGGGAGGCTCATGCGAGGCTCCAGGTCAGACGTTGAACCCGCCCCTGCAATACTGTGAAAGGGGGAGTTTAGGCACCGTTACAATTTGACTCGTGAAGCGGCTATCGTACGCCTTTCGGGACACTTTGCTTCCCCAGCCCTATTATTGAATAAGGCAAATCCAAAAGTATAAGAGGATCCGGCTGGGGGCGTTCCTCTTTCCTTGCGATCTTATTTGAAATCTCTGCTCTGAAAGGAACCCTTCCACAAAAGGGACGCTTTCACGTCTCTCCCATAAAGAAAACGTAAAACTCCCCAAAAACTCAGCTCGCTAAATTGTCCAATGTATCCCCAGGGGAGTAACCCACCCAGCGAGGGCACCCCACAGCTTGCGAGCATGCGGCGTGCAAAACAGAACCCAGCCCAATCCGAGCAGAGCTGGGCACGAAACCAAAATGAAGGTTCTTTGACAGCCACTGTAGAGAAGGAACCAACCCCATTGTCAGCCGCTGACCCTACCGGGGCTTTTCTCTTGCAGTGCCCAGCCAGAAGGGTGCTTGATAAATTCTTCAGAGCTACAGTGGATGTAGGTTCAGGTCCCAGAAAGGTCCAACTGTGAATCCCGCTCCTAATTCAAGAGAAACGGCTCCTTACGAGAAGCATATCAAAGGGAGTTTCTTTCATGGTGGTGCTAGGAATGCGGCTGGTGTCGTGGTGGCAGTGCTTGAGTGGAAGGAAGGGTCACCTGAGTTCACAACTCGGCCGCTTGTTTCCTGTGGGACCAGCGTCCAACGTGTGTGTTTGTGCAATCAATCAGAGTTCCCTACCTCGCGGGAGTTTGGTGACAAACTTGTTGATATTCAAGTTCTCTAAGGGGACGCACTGGGGTCAGAAGCTACAGTGTCCTGACGGGTGTCTTGCTCCGGCCGGTGAGGACCAGCAGGCTGCGTGCGTGTGCTCCTGTGTATGGCACTGGCTCCCCGCTGGCAGCCAGCACAGCAGACACCGAGAGAACCTCCAACAACCGCACAATCAGATCAGGTGCCAGGTTTATTGGAAGGGAGCCCAGTAAGTGCAGCTGGTAGCCTCCCTAAGCACATCACGAGCGTGTGCCCGTGACAGTGGGCCCGCTCGGTCAGAGAAGGATTCTTCACTGCCCCCTCGGCCGGGCAACGTCACACACGGCTACACACAAACCCCCTCACTCCCGCCGCGTCCGGAGGCAGCCTTTGCGGTGGCCT